CACTTAGGCGAGCTGCCTGGCTGTTTTCTGTCTCTCTCGCACACCCAGGCGAGTAAGGTTATGGTGCAATCGCTCTCAGAGGGTCGCGGGGGAACGCCATGCGCCTGCTTTGCCGGAAAAACAACGCAAGTCCCGCCTGGCGATTTTCTTTCTCTCTCGCACTTATACGCGGGACGCTTGGCTATTTTCTATCTCTCTCGCACACTTAAACAAGCTGCCTGGATGTTTTCTGTCTCTCTCGCACACCCAGGCGAGTGATGGTAGGGTTAAACCCCTCTCAGAGGGTCGCGGGGGAACGCCATGCGATTTTCTTTCTCTCTCGCACTTGTACGCAAGACGCTTGGCTATTTTCTATCTCTCTCGCACACTTAGGGGAGCTGCCTGGCTGTTTTCTGTCTCTCTCGCACGCCCAGGCGAGTGATGGTAGGGTGCAACCACTCTCAGAGGGTCGCGGGGGAACGCCATGCGATTTTCTTTTTCTCTCGCACTTGTACGCGAGACGCTTGGCTATTTTCTATTTTTCTCGCACACTTAGGCGAGCTGCCTGGCTGTTTTCTGTCTCTCTCGCACACCCAGGCGAGTGAGGGTAGGGTGAAACCGCTTTCAGAGGGTCGCGGGGGAACGCTATGCGCCTGCTTTGCCGGAAAAACAACGCAAAACCCGCCTGGCGATTTTCTTTCTCCCTCGCACTTGTACGCGAGACGCTTGGCTATTTTCTATCTCTCTCGCACACTTAGGCGAGCTGCCTGGCTGTTTTCTGTCTCTCTCGCACACTCAGGCGTGTGAGGGTAGGGTGCAACCGCTCTCAAAGGGTCGCGGGGGAACGCCATGCGCCTGCTTTGCCGGAAAAACAACGCAAGTCCCGCCTGGCGATTTTCTTTCTCTCTCGCACTTATAAGCGAGACGCTTGGCTATTTTCTATCCCTCTCGCGAGGCCCTCAGAAAGCGGTTGCACTCTCACACGCTTGGGTGTGCGAGAGAGACAGAAAACAGCGAGGTAGCTTGCCTAAGTGTGTGAGAGAGATAGAAAGTAGCCAAGCGTCTCGCGTTTATGTGCGAGAGAGAAATAAAATCGCCAGGCGGGACTTGTGTTGTTTTTCCGGCAAAGCAGGCGCATGGCGTTCCCCCGCGACCCTCTGAGAGCGGTTGCACCCTACCCTCACACGCTTTGGCGTGCGAGAGAGACAGAGAACAGCCTGGCAGCTCGCCTAAGTGTGCGAGAGAGGTAGGAAATACCCAAGCGTCTCGCGTATAAGTGCGAGAGAGAAAGAAAATCGCCAGGCGGGACTTGCGTTGTTTTTCCGGCAAAGCAGGCGCATGGCGTTCCCCCGCGACCCTCTGAGAACGGTTGCACCCTCGGTCGTCCCTTTTTTTTTGAGTTTTACGAAAGGGCTTCCTTTTAAGAATTTAGACCTGAGGATATGTTATAGGAGTAGAACAGCAGCGGTTCGCGTAGGTATGTTCTGGTCGATTTGCGTGCTCGACCTTGTAGCGTTTTCTTTGCTTGGTCCATGCGTTTCTTCATGATTTCGCAGGGATCTTCTTTCTTGGGCTCTACTATAAAATTGAGTCATGAATTCTTTCAATTTAGCTCAAATATTAATAGAGTACCTGTGAAAGGTACCCAGTTTTACAGTTATCATACATATTTGATGGAATTCTCATCCAAATAAGAGAAGAATAAATATTTTCTTTAAATACCACCAAGTAAGTGAAAGTTCCACCGTGCACCTAGTTGGCCAATAAAAATGCGAACAATGAAGCTATTTCTTTTTTCTTTATTCTTGACTCTAAGTGGTAAGAATTCTAAGACATAGTGAAAACTTTATTTTTCATTCCTTTATTAATGCATGGTTGACTGTTTGCATGGAAATGATAGTACCTGCATTAGTTCCCTTATCTATTTTTCTGTTGGAGCATAAACGTGGTTGATAAGAGGTGGCATAGTATCACGGAGAACCCAGAGAGTTTTGTATTAAATACAAATGATGCTCCCCTAAAAGAATTAAAATTAGACCATTATAAACTAAATATATCGACAGCTCTTGCTGACGACAACCTGCTACCTTCATCAACTTAATCTAAAAGAGAGAGCAAGATTACAAAAAAGCATATACATACATAAGAGTTGCTCTCACAATGCTCTTTGGCGCTCTGCAACGCCTAAACGCCACAAAACTCGGTCCTCCCACAGTTCATCAGGGAGTTGGCACCTTCGCATCTCATCTATAACCCCCTGTCGTCAACCTTTCACCGGGTGTCCCCTTCGTCTCCTCCCAGGAAGAACTTAATCAAGCATCTTTTTAAAGCATATAAAAGCATATCTTTAAAAAGCATATAAAAGGCTCAAAGGAATGCGTATTATTATTTTCAGTATATTCGCCTGGCAAGGGCGAAATTCTCTTCTTAGTGATGAAGTGGAGACAACTATTTCGAGTTTTTCAAAACGAAGTTCCCTTCCTCCATAAACTGTTGCGTGTTTTAAACAATCTGGGATCAAAAAGTTGACTCAGCTGATTTTAGTTAAACCACTAAGTTTTGCTGAAAAATTTACCCCATAAGTTAAGATCGGTTTTTTGAGAACCCATGACAATTTACCAATGCAATTTACATTCTACAATGTGATCCAAAAATGCCAGAGAAACAGCACCAAGAGGGTGACCCTCATAACTTCTGAAGAAATTGAGCTGAAGAGTTGAAAATTAGTGAGTGCTCCTAGGTCAAAGGAAAAGATTTTTGGGAACCCCCAAAACTTTAAAGGGATTAGGTAAGTACTCTGAAAAGGGAAAATAAGAACCCCGAGGGTTTCAAGGGTGGTGTAGAAATTTTGGATCACCCAGTATAAGATAAAAATATTTTGATGATGGATGAGTTTTCTTGGAAGTTCCTTTAGCATATCTCAAGGTTGCAGGATTTTTTAATCAACCAAAAATCTAAACTGAGGGGGAAAAAACCTGATGATGGATGAGTTTTGGACGGAAATTAACCTTATGCCTATCACAAGATTGCATGATAGTTTAATGAGCCAAAAACCTAAATTAAAGGGGGGGGGGGGGACCTTTTGTACTTTAAAAAACTCCTCAGGAAATAGACTTCCAACAGACATTACTTAAAAGCCAAAAATTTATTAACAAAATGTACAAAAGAGAAATAGACTGACTGAATATCTTCAAACACTAAAGCAATGCTCACTGGTTGAAAGAAAGCAATAACTAATGGAGTCGAGAAGACTATCAAGAAACGATGACAAAGTTTGAAGGTTGACTAACCAAAACTGAGAACTAGATAAAGAAAATTAAACACAAGCGACAAGCAGAAAAATTATGGAATAGCATAAGGCTGATGTTTTCCATCCTCGTTGTATTTGCGATAACTCTTCTTATGAGAGAAGTCTTTCTTGTCCTCCTGCCAGCCACGGGGAGGAGCTTTGTCGTATTCGAACCGATTGGGATTCTTTCCATAAAGTTCATCTTCTTTTTCGATTTGATCCCTAAAAATGAGAGAAGAAAAGAATGATGATCAATTCCCAAGACAATATATTTGAGAGATGTCTATGAACTTATCCTAATAGTGATGACCTTTTAAAACATTTTTCAAAAATACTTTTAAAAAATGTCTTTAAACATTCATATTAAGAAACCCTTTTAGGCTATTTATTACATAAAATTTAAGGAAAGAAAGTTTAGACTCTTAAAATATCACTGTAGTTTATAGAAATTTTTTTCAAGCAATTTTAGTGTTGAAAAACTACAGTTGATATTTTAAAAGTATTTTGAACACTTTTTAACTTAAAAAAATAACTAAAAAAGGTTTCTTATTAAGAACATTTCAACAGTTTTTTTAGGAGTTATCTCTTTGAAATTTAAGTTTTTTTTAAAAAAAATTTAACAGTCCTTGCTATTGAGCAGCTGTGTAGTCGGCAACAATCATCCATTTAAATGTACATAAAACAATCAATATTTACTTATTGGGGAGGACGACCTCACCTTGAAATGATTATTTCCAAAGGATTGAAATGACAGAAAAACAGTGTTATGTACTAGAGTGCCAACTATGTAGTGTGTGAACTAAGTAACTCAGTAAAGGGTACGAACCGAAATTTGACGATTCCTCGATCAACTCCAGCAACATTTTTACCGGTGATTGGATCTTGAACATCTCCACACTTATAGACAACGTTTAGCAGCTTATGAGTAATTATGGTTGTGAGTTTCTCTGGTAATTCTTGAATAAGAACAACATCTCCGGTTTTGGCCACTTTTTCAGGATCATGGGCATAGTAAAACTCATCTTTTTTGAAGTACTGAAATCAATGAAAAAAAAAAAAAAATATGTGAAAAGCGGATCATACAAGATTAATTTTTAATAACTACCAACAGTGATGGATAAAAAAAAAAAAAATATTAAAACAGACAGAACTTGGTTGTCACATAGTTGTGTGGGCATGGTCAAATATTTCATTAATTGATTATTCGAAGTTGAAAAGTTTGATTTCTTAAGGATTCAGAACGGTCGAAATTGAGAAGTTTAAAATATTTGAAGAAATAGGAAGAGTGAAGGAATATAAGTATTTGGAGGCGCTGGTCACAGAAGATTTCAAGTGGGATACACAGATAGAAAAAATAGCTTGCGAATACAGGAGTTGAGTAAGCTCACTTTGGAGGGTAAAAAACACGTTGACTATGGAGGGGAAGAAATTATTAGGTACACCATGCACTAGTTGGTTCAATCTTAAATCACTGGACAACAATATTATTTGAAGCAGGGAAACGGTTGACAGAAATATGTACTACAAGTGGGACAAAACAATGCGATGAGGTATATATTGAACCGGGGTAAAGAAGAGAGTATTGGAGGAATGTTGAATGAATTGGAGTGGCTATGTATAGAATTATTTATCAAATAAGTATAGAGTTTTCATGTTCATTTACAAGATAAAGAAGGGCTATATAAGAGGGGTGGATGAAGAAATAAAAAAACTAATGTAGTGCAAAAATGTGAAAGGAACGAGGCATGGAGATAGGGTCTGGACTTAGCACGAAAAAGGGACTGTCAATTGCATGATCTCCTATAAAGATGTAAGGGAATATAATAAATTTAAGTGTCATAAACGTGAAGAATTGGGAGTTGGTGCATTCAAAAGGAATTTGTTGTTTAAGCTAGCGGTATACCAGAATAACAACTGGGGTGAAGGTAGACTACTGAGGGAGGAAGACAGGGAAGGTATAAAGTGAAGATGGAGAAAAGAAAGGAACGGAACGGGAATAGCCGATAGGCTATTTTGAATTTAAAAAAAAAAAAAAAAAAAAAAAAAAGCCAAAATTGGTAAGTAATTAGGTCTATCTAAAACTCTAACTTCATCATCAGGAAAAAAAAACTTTACCGAATCCGAGAGGAAAACATTTTCCCCTCAGAAAACACAAAATTGTTCATTCCCACTTGTCAAATGAGTCCAGATTGCTTGTGGGGATGGACGATTATTTTATCAAAAGATAATTTGTATTCTCAATTAATCGGAATTGAGGAGTTCCAAATTCTATCAGGTTACGACCTTGCGTCAAAGGAATTATGTCATGAGCTTTGGTTTTAATCAGTGTCAACTCCAAAACTCTGATTAAGCAATTCGTAAGGCATATTATGCCGTGGTGAAGAAAACACTAAGATTGACTTACGCAATTCAAGTTTGTGTCCAACTCCATCCTTCGAACACGGACTTTGGAGACTGCTCTTTCTACAGAGGTGGGAATGCATTTCCCAATGAGTAAGAAGGTTTTGGAGGCAGAGCCTGCCATAATATCAATTAAATTAGAGACTCAAGATTTAAAATTCGAGAGTTCACTGATAAAACTTGAAATTAGGAGCTGGGCAGAAGCAGAACAGGCGTGATGAACAATTAGCGCGCAACTTAGGTTATGTTTTACTGTTTGTAAATACACCCTGCAAAGTCTATGGAGAAAACAGGGACCAGTTCTATAGGACCCTGGACATGGACCAAGAGAATAAATAAGGACTCCCAACTCCCTATGCTAACCTGTGTTAAAAACCGTTAACGCGCGCTCGCAGCGAACCTGGCAGAGGGTGCGGTGAACTAACGCCACAGCGGTCCACGATCGTACCTCTATAGTATGTTATTCCATGCAATGTTCTTTGTTTATCTATGATTAATTTATTTGTGTAGATACTTTAATACATTTTACTTTCGCAAACTAATGAAATTGTATAGATACATACCTTCTGCAGAGGTCAATGCGAAAGACTTTGATTTGAAGTATCTTATCAAAACACGAGCAAAGATGATTCAGTCAACTTCTGACGCAGAATCAAAGAGACTTGCTAATAATCAAATTAAAGGTAATGCTTGAAGTCAAGTATCTTTGATTTTGTGACACTCAGTTGATTTTTATCAGTACAACACTATTTCTCACTAAAAAGATTTCACTTAACAGAGAGGCGCCTTCGGCTAAAAGTACAATCCTGATTCCTGATGCACACTACATACACACTTCCTTTGGCTTTCTCAACAGCAGTTGCTGCTGAGTAAAACGGTTAGAAATAACACTTCACGTTAATACCAGTTTATGTACACGAAGACTGACGAAGATTGAAATGAAAATGGGAAACTTTTCACACTAAACTCTTCAAAACTGCAGGGCGACCACGAGGATACGAGGATCTAGAAACTTCTATGAGCACTACTGAGTGATAAGCCTAAATAGGTGGTGCATGGAGATATAAACAGGAAGACCCAATCATCGGTTTAGTTCTCTACACCCTCTGCCAGGGAGCGCTGATGTCAGCGCTAACCGGAGTTGGGGGTCCTTATTTATTCTCTTGGTCCATGCCCTGGACTCCCGTAAGAGTCAATGTAAAAATTCGTGAGCAGGTACTAGTGCTGCATTCCCGCGTAGGATCCTCGCAACTCACTGCTGTTATCAGTTGTTGGACTTCATTAAAATCCGTAGGATCGCGTATAACTGCAAAAAATCGAATTTTTCATCGTATAGTTACATGTGGCGGGCCCTTCCTTGTCGAAAGGGGTCGAAAAACGCCAAAAATATACTTATTTTTTAAGAATTCAGCCGCCTTATGTGTTATTTTCAGAGACAAATAGAGACCGAGCACGTTGGGTTTTCAGTGAGGCACATCTAATTCTCGGGGATCCAACGGAACAACAGTCATGTATTTTCTGATTTCGCCTAAAGTTGACTGATGCTACTCGGCTGTTGGCATTATGGCGGCTTGTTTACATTCTTCCTAATCAATTGCAAAGCGGAAAATTTTCCAATTTTTCATTTGAAACTCTTCCAAATTGTCATAAAATGACCTATTAGAAGGTAAAAAATTAATTCGCCCCTTTTAATCAACATTTGTGATACTTTCGGTGGTTTCACCTTATGTAGTGAGAAGCAGATTCCTCGAGACTCTGAGCCTGGTCCGCAGATTGTTCAACTTCATAATGGATAATTTTAGTTATCGAACTTTCTTTTGACTTTAAATGGTGTATAATTTTTTCTAGACTGTATCAATACCTTGTGATCAAATTCTCAATCTATTAACCTCCATATCATGTCGCAGGATAGAGATATTTTAGCTATTTGAGATCTGTCAAGAACCTGATCACAGCAGCACTGCCAGTCTTACAGATACACTGTATTGAAATTTGACGAAAAAAAATTTACTGTCTATGTCATAAGCTGCTCACTATGATAAGTATTAATCGTGGATCAAATGCTTGATGTCTCCAACATCCTATCTCTAAGCCTGATGAAGTGCGTTGAAAGCGGAGTGTTATGGCTGCGAAGCGTCGATATTTGTTGTTAAGGAGGCGTGTAAATGAAACGTTTGGATAAGCTCGCAAGCTGTACGAATTCTTTTGTGTGTGGAAAATAACTGAATGTCCAGAATTCTAAACATCTGACTGTATCTCAAGTACCTAAAAGAAATGTTGGTCAGGTCAGAGTTTGTGAATCCTTGGCAGCAGTTAATGCAATTCTTCTACTTATTTTAGGCCTTCGCTCATCAAAGTTAGGTAAGTAAGAGACCGCTCAGATATATCATATTATGCTTGTCAGTATTAGCCCATAACTCCATAGTGTAAAAATCCTTGGAGGGTGAAGTGCCCATCATCTGATGGAGTTCCTGAGATTTGTTTAAGAACTTTTCTTCCTGATTATTCTCTCAATTTTACCAGAATTGTCTCTTCCACCACCATCATAAAGTATTTCAACCTTGCATTAAATGAGAAATGATGTATACGCTATTAGAATTCCTAAAATTGGGAGTCGTGAAACAAATAAAGTAGCTTCACCGTAAACATTTGCTAGCTCAGTTGGCAGTAAAACTCTCATTAATTCGGTGAAAATAAAAGTAAATGTTTTTTCTTCGCTCATTTCGATGAGGAAACACATTGAATACATATAAATTGTGATACTGGATGCAACTAATACTACTTCCTGTAAAATTGGAAAATGTGTAACTCGAAAAAAGGAAAGAGGATCTCACCAGAGTGCTCTCTTACAACTTATAGATCAAAATTCGTGATATTTCGGCCCTTAAAGGTTCTTTCATCATTCAGAAATAAAGAAACTAAATTTAGTTTGAACAGGCATCTTTCAAGAAAGAAATGTGACAGCTTATTTGCAGTTTTTAGCTTTTTCATAATGCGTCAAATCTACCTCTTGACGAGAACAGGCGAAGATTCAATCCGCGCACTACTTATTGTTGGTTTACATTTCTCACTTACCAAACTTTAATGAGCAAAGTTGTTAAGTACGTAGGAGAATTTCAGTAACTGCTGCCAAGGATTCACAAACTCTGACCTGACCAACATTTCCTTCAGGTACTTGAGATACGGTCAGATGTTTAGAATTCTGGACATTCAGTTATTTTTCACACACAAAAGAAATTGTACTGCTTACAGGCTTATCCAACCGTTTCATTTACACAGCTCCTTAAAGACACATATCGACTCTTCAGTCGAAATGCTCCGCATTCAATGCATTACATCAGGCTTCGGGATAGGATTTTGGAAACAGAATTATTTACAGAGAATTATCTTGAAAAAATTACACACCATTTACAGTCAAAGAACATTTCGATTGCTAAAATAATTATCCATATGGTATAAGGAAGTTGAACAATCTGAGGACCAGGCTGTCTCGAGGAATCTGTTTCTCACTGCAAGAAGTGAAACCACCGAAAGTATCACAAATGTTGAGTAGAAGGGGTGAATTAATTATTTACTTGGTAAAAAGTCATTTTATGACAAATTCGGAGAGTTTCAAAGGAAAAATTGGAAAATTTTCCGCTTTGCAAGTGATAAGGAAGAATGTAAACAAATCGCCATATTACCAAAAGCTCACCAGATGCGACTAGCACCAGTCAACTTTAGGCGAAATCAGAAAAATGATGACCGTTGTTTTGTTGAATCCGCGAGAATTAGATGTGCCTCACTCAAAATACATTTGGCGGAATAGGGCGTGCTCGGTCTCTATTTGTCTCTGGTTATTTTTCAATCTCCGGCTTAACCTCACTTTTGGAGCGGGCGATGGATGAGTCGAGGATCGGGGGGAAGGATCCTCTGAGTTGACTAGGATCCTACGCGAGAATGCGCTGCAATCACCCGCTCACAACAGAACGGCGTCCTATAGAACTCGTCCCTGGAGAAAATAAGGAAATTAACCCCTAATGCGGTCTTGTGAGATAATCCCACGTGGGTTTTGACTATAATTCTAACCTCAGAAACTTCAATTTTTTTTTTAAACTTCACCATCCTGACTATCCCAAGTTGCATTCCTTTATTTCTGAGCACTATCGCTCACTTTTTTCGCCAAGTGATGTGTGCGGTGTGTCATGGCAGAAGCAGAGACTGTTGGTGACTATACGATCATAAAGGACTTACAATTTGAAGGCAAAAGCAAGGTAAAGCGTGTTCTACCAGAATGGCTTGCCAAACCGAAGGTAGTGTCAATAGATCTTCAAAATCTATCCACCAAAATTACTGACATCAAAGACCTGCATCCAGTACTGGTGAAAAGATTAGAAAAAAATAAAATCACCCACTTCTTTCCTATTCAAGCGCAATTAATTCCTTGGATTATAAAGGCCCGTAAAGCTCCAAGGTATCTTTGGCCTTGCGATATATGTGTGTCTTCACCTACAGGTAGCGGTAAAACTCTGGCTTTTGCTATTCCCATCATTCAACTCTTGCTGGACCGTCTGATCCCCAAGGTTCGGGCCCTGGTCGTACTTCCGACTCAAGATTTAGCTGCTCAAGTCTACGAAGTTTTCAAAGATTATGTAGCGGGCACTCCTCTGAAAGTGGCCCTAATTTCTGGTGGATCAACATCTCTTAAAAAGGAACAAGCAACATTAGTAAGACAATGTAAGAAACTTTCTGTTATTATAAACGCTTTATGTGAGGAAAAAAATACAAGCTCTGTAATGGGTATCAAATTCCTTTTCTATTACTTTTCCTCTTTTGATGTGTGTGCAGGATAGGGAATTATAATCAACAAAAGTGGAAAAGTTATCTGAAACAGGCCGTGTGTATTTGTAATCAGCTCATTTATAGCGTCCCAGAGCACTCAGCAAAAGGTCGATAATATTCCTGATCCCGCAAGCAGAGCTCACGGGTAAATTGGAGGAAGCTCTCGGATTTTTTTATCCCCTGGTAAAATCCAGTACAGAAATAAAAAAATAAGCGTTAATGGAGCCCTTCTTAATATCAATTTAAAAATTTTCTTTCCACCAATCGGCCCTGAAAAACCTGAAGACTGGAAAAAGAGGAAGAAAAGTAATCACCTTTTGTGGAGCTTTTTTTCGACTCGAGCACAGTTGTGAAAAGCAAGAATCTTTATCGACCCCTGCACTCTGCTACATGCAACTATCACTCGTAAGCAGCAATCTAGGTAAAGTTCTTCTGATTTATTGCACCTCTTCATTTTGTGATTGATTCGTGCCTCCAGCAATGGGATATCTGGTGCAGAAAGCACCCAGAAAAGTGTACTAGTGAGTCTTTTGGAGCAATTCCATATTGATGAACCAAATACTGGGAAAGCCAGAAAATACTATTGAAGTTTGCTGCAGCTGTTGTCAGCCGTATAGTAAAAACCCAGTTCTAACACTCGTAGCATCAATAATATTGCAAATTATAGTTTGAAAATTAGACCCTGAGTTTTTGAAAATACTAGGTAGGGTTTTAGTAGAGTACCTTTATAGCGAGAGTATGGACAGATCGCTTGATGGAGAGCTTAGGGCCCAAAAGTGCAGCCACCCTTCTGAGCAACTTCTAACACACGAAATTTCACTGCCAGCCTACAGATTTCAATTCTAACCAAGATGGCCAAGAATGTACATAAATGAGCGTTCTTTCTCAAAAATAAGTAAAATTGTGCAAAAAGTAAGCCAATCACATGCTTTATAAACGACGGTTCGTAACAATTGTATTTGTAAATCGCTCTAGACATTTGAAATTCATAGGTTGGCTGCACTTCTGGGCCTTAACTTTATTCGCGGAGGCATCGGTGAAGGCCTGATGAATTTTCGGAGTTTCACATCTGTCTATACTCTCGCTATACAGGTACTCTAGGTTTTAGTGTTCAAAATTGGAAATTGAAAATTGCTACTGTTTATTCCAAAAAACCAGATTTTTTCATTGCATTTTACTATTCAGAATTTCCACCTTGAAGACTCTTCTACAACCCCATCACATAATATCACATAATCCTGACAAGACGACAATTCATGCACAGCTCTCTCTTCAACTTTGTTACAGGTCCTATTAATGGTCTAGAATCTCTGGTTGATATTGTTGTTACCACACCTGGAAGACTGCTTGATCATCTTGATTCCACTCCAGGTTTTACTCTTTCTGCACTTGAATTTCTTGTCATTGATGAAGCAGACAGGATCTTGGATGATTTTAGAATGGAATGGCTCCAGCATCTAGAGAGGCATTTAACGAAAGGTCTGTTTGCATTCTCTTTTTTAACTCTAGCCGGTTCACTGCAAAGTCGTATTTGGTTCGACGAAACAACTCGGAACATCTCCTAACAGTCGTATTTAGCTCGAATGTTATTCATGTTAAGGGGCGTGGCCTATTTTTATTCGTTTCATTATTTTGCACAGTTTGGCAACATTTTGCGACATTGTTTCGAAACAATCGGAACGTCCTCAGAGTCTTGTTACGACTGTTGTGTACATTTGTAACAAGATTTCTAACCTCACTTCCAGCTGCTTTGCTCTCATTGGTTGTGAAAAAGTGATGCAAATGACACAAAATCGGTAACCGGAAACAATTGTTGCGGCGAACAAAATACGACTCAAGTTAAAGGGTAGAAACAGAAGAATAAGTATCGATGACCAAAGTACACAACTACGTATCTCTTTCATGATTTTTCAAAATTTCCGCTCCCATCTAATTTTTCTAAGAAATTCAAGCCTACTTAATAGCTTGAATGTATACAGAATATTCTGCTAAAAGAGAAGGAAAATGAAAGAAGTTATCAAGAAATTACATTGACTAGTTTTCCGAGGAAAACATTACGTAAGTATGACAGGAAGTTCGCAATGTAGCAAACAGAGATAGGTGGTTTCACACTTCGACCATTGATATGTAACGAGCTGTCTTCACGATGCAACAACTTGCAGGAAAGAAATTTCTACAAATATTTTTTTAAATTATTTTTTGTTGCCATAAATTCTGCAGGTATTTTTTAAAATCTGTTTGCGTGGAAATTCTTTTTTGAAAGTTGAAAGTTTTTCAAATTTTTTTGCAATTTTTCTGAGCTGTATTTTGGTGTAAAAAAAGTTATGTGTCTACACGTGTAACTTTAGTCCCATTTATAGCCCTAAATTCAAGGAAAATGTTTGAAAAAACTTTATGAGAAGCATGCATCAAAAGATAAGAACAATTTTTTTTTCAAAATCATGAAAAAGGAAAAGAAAACAGAGACAAGATTCACTTACTTAGATTGACCTAGTCTCTTCATTTTCAAATAATTTTATTTATATAATTGATTTTCTAAAGTATTCGATGTTGTAAATTAAGTAGTAGCTAAAAATGTCCCCTACAGTAGCAGGTAGGAAGAAAAGTCAAATTTTGTCTTTTGGGACCTTCTCCTTACCTTGAAGGTGTTCAATTGAGTGTCAACTTTCCTTTTACAACAAGATGTGTCTAATCGGTTAGCATCAAAATTTCAAAATTTTCCGATTGTCTGTTTATGTTTGTTTAGGAGCTCTTGCTGCACCACCAGTTTCTCTGCATTTACTAAAGACTTTACCACCACGACCTCAGAGGCTTCTCTTTTCTGCAACACTTTCTCAGGATCCAGAAAAACTGCAACAGCTTGGGTTATTCCAGCCAAAACTGTTCACTGCAGCCATTGATGCTGATGTTGGTGAGGTTTTTTCTTACTTCATATGCTCTTAAATAGGATATTGACGGTAAAACTGCAGAAATGGGTGTTTCAAAATTATGTCCCTATTTTATTTTCTCGAAGAGAAAAAAGTCAACTTTATTGCTTGAAATTTATGTAGGCTATTCTGTTAACAGAGAAAAAAAATCAAGAAATTTCTGAAGAAATTTTGTTAACTAGTTTTCCCAAGAAGAAATAAGGTATGACAGGAAGGCCGCAAACAAAGGCGCATGGTTTCACGTTTTGGCCATCGATATGGTTTAGTAGGACACAGATGCTGCGTTCGTGGTAGTGAAAGGGTTGAAAAGATTTCCGTTTTGTCCTGTATGATTGCATCAAGACACTACAAGCAACTGTTGGTGTATTTTTGAAACATTTTTCTTTCAAATTCAAGTGTAATTCTAAATATGTGCCTGTGCTGATCTAGGCTCCTCCAATCTACAGTATTCTTCTTTTTAAATTGTATTGCAGCTTCTTATGGGTTTTGGCCTTCAAAAAAACCTCTCACCCCTCTCTCCTACCTTGAATCCTCTCTTCATACTCAACATTCTCAAGTTTTTTTTCCACACTTCTCCAATTTTTCCCATTTCCAACATTACCTAATTCACACTAATGCGTCTGGTTTCTTGTTTTTTTCAGGAAGCTCAAATCAAGACTCTACTGTATTTGTAGGCAAGTTCACAACCCCAAAAGAACTGACAGAAAAGTATGTTCAGTGTACTGTCGCGAGTAAACCGTTATTCCTGTACCATTTCCTAGTGACAGAAAAGTGGTCACAAGTTTTGTGTTTCGTCCACTCTGTTGAGATGAGCCATACGCTGGCAATGTTGTTACAACACCTGAGCAAATTGGACAACAAACCGTTAAATGTTGCTGAAATCAGTGTGGAGAGAGACGTGAAGAACAGGCTTAAAATCATCAAGGATTTTGAAGAAGGCAAAATTGATGTGTAAGTTCTGTCTCTCTTTTTGCACCTTATTTTTAGGGATTGTCTTGCCTAGCTTTCTTGGTCTTTTCCGATGCTCTGTTCTGTTTCAATTCATTGACTTTAATCAACAGTTGGGAGTAAAGGTGTTCAAACGAATTCTTGCTGGTACACTATTGGTATCGTCTTAAACCGATACTGGTGGCAGGCAGCACCGACAGTGGTGATGATATCGTTAGCAGCCAGCCTTATCAGAGTTTGAGAGCTTGCACTTAATGCATTGTTGCCATGTGTGTTGGTTTGTCAGATTGCCCATTGCTGAGGTGCGTAAAATAGATGTACACATGGCAACAGCTTATTTTTGTCAGGTTCAAAAACTCAGATTGCTATTGGTAAGAGCGCTCTTATTGTAACTTTTCCTTAACGGAACTGTTTTGGTAGCTTACCGACAACCGATAGAACAGTCCTAAGTGGGAGTAGCCTGCTCTGCGCTGAGTCAGATTACATATTGACTGTAACACTTCCAAACCTCACATCGTATTTGCAGTGCTTTAAAATCTTTGCTCATCTTTTATTTTTTCTAAGGCAAACAAATTAACATTATTCTTTGAAGTTATCACAAAATTGTCTGATTAATAGCTGAGACTGTAATGGTAGTGTTTAAAGTGCGACTTAACTCAAGATTATTACTATTTTTTCTATGAGTGGAAAATTCAAAAAGATGCATCGAAAAACGTCAATACATTTGATAGAAGTTACTATCAGTCATTTTCGTTGTACATATTGTGTTCCATGTGAAATTTTAACAAGAAAACATGCATCATAATCCTTAAATCCAAACCTTATCTAGTAGTCCGTATCAAGCTCTAATTAGTTTGCTTTACCATTTTGTTAAATTTTGCAGCTTAGTGACATCTGACAGATTAGCAAGAGGCATCAGTATACCAAACGCAAAGTACGTGATCTCATTTGATGTTCCCAAATTTGCCAAGAATTACATCCATCGTATTGGTAGAACCGGCCGAGCAGGGCAATTGGGAACAGCTGTAACCTTAGTTAGCGGGAAAGAAGTGAGTATTTACGCTTCTAGTCTGTCATTCTTTCTCTGTTTTTTTTTCTCTGAAAAGAGGAAAGTCCTTGTGTCCGTAAAATGGGCCTGTTGCAATCTTTTGCTAGAGCGAAAATAAGAGTTGTCTCTTATAGATAATGTCTCAAAAACTTGATGAACGTATCAGCACATTCTGAAATGCACTCCTAACCTCACAATCTGCGTAAACAATTTGCGTTTTTTTGAGCTTCCTGCTTCCAAAACAATACTACGGCACAGGTTAACTTTTCGTTAAAGGAGTCGTTCCATCGGACCCCTGCTCAAAAGGATGCTTCTCAATATTCAACATGACCGACGCCAATCCGCCGTAACACATGTGCCTGGACGAGCTTATAACCCAGTGGTTTATATTCACGATTTTTTCGCGTTGATAAATGGTTGACCTCGTTCTCTCCCCAACTTGTGCGAGGAAGCGTCGGCCATGTTGAGCAGGGATTGAATGGAACGACTCCTCGAACAAAATGGTCACTTGTTCCGTAGTATCGTTTTTGAAGCAGGGAGCTAAAAAAAACGTAAATTGCTTACGCAGATCGTGAAGTTAGGAATGCATTTCAGAGTTTGCCAATTTGCTCATCGTGATTTTTGAGACATTTCTATTGGAATCAACTCTTATTTTTACTCAAGCTTAAGTTTGCAACAGGCCCATTCAGCTTCTTTTTGGATACTACAATGAGAAAGCACCCAGGTGTCAACTGTAAAACTGCAAGTGAAAATACCTCACTAGAGTCATCCCAACCTCTCCAATTTACCAGGAATTTTTGTTGACATTTCCAGAAAATACAGTCGAATTTCTTTAAGTTGAACTGCAGTTAGTTAAGAGGAAATTCTACTTAAGTTCAAAATTCTTTTAGTCCCCAGACTTTCCCATAAGGCGCTATGTTAAAAGAACTATGATCATGACGAATTCAGAAGTTTTGTCAAGGAGGGGAAACTACTTTAGTCAAGAAAAATTTTTCGAAAAATCCGCCAAATATTTAATTTTATCTGTGCAGAATAACACAGAAAATAGTGATTTAAAAAGAAAGAAGCGTTACAAATTAAGATTTATAATGACATACCTGCATCTTTGGAGGAAGTTTAGAAGTAGGAGTTTCAAAATCTGTGACTTTTGATGTTCTTTGATGCTGTGTTGATGTTAATAACACCTTACATTTTCAATTTAAGAATTTTTATTGGGATATTTTTTGACATAACTAAATTTGATTGACAGATTTAATCTGATGATTGTAAAATTCATTTTAAAAATTGAAGGATTTAAGTTGAAGTTGAAAAGTTTTTGAAGTAGACATTATAAACTGAAGAGAAGTAAAGGAGAGAGATGAAATTTGAAAATTTACCTAAAAAATTAAAATTCAAAATGTTTAATCGAGTATTGCGAAATTTGGTAAAGTTACTCCCGGTAGAAATCTAAGAGTGGAGACATTGTCGCTTAACTAAAATTTCTGACCTTACTTCGTTTTAAGCACCAAAGCGGATAAGGCAAAAGCTACTTCAGTCAAAATTCGTTTCGGTCCCTAGACAACTCAACATAGCAAGATTTCACTGCACTCTAGAAAAGGCAAAGAAAAATCAACCGTCCATTAACAATAACTATGTAACTGAAATGTGCGCAGGAATCTGTGATGTCTTAAAATCCAAGATCTCAACAAACTTTACCAAAAATCACTCTACAAAAACTTCTGTCTTGGTTATTGAAACATTTTAATAGTAAAATTTGCATTGATAAATCAACATTGTCATCGTCACGCCATTTGATTGGAGGACCCTCAATAAGCCTCAGGAACCGAATTTTCTATTATACGCTTGTGTCTTTGAGCAACCTTTCATCAGTTATTTTCTTTTGTAACTCTCCTCGGGAAAAATTTGAGTGTTGAACACTGAGAAAGTTGGTTTTAAAAACTAGCAGAGTTTCTTTTTTTCTCGACTTGCTGTTTTTTTTCATTAACATTTATTTAATTGGCAACTTTTGGTACTTCAAATATCTTAATGGCTCTGGAAATTGCTCCTTTGTATTTTTTTTCACCATTTCATCCGTAGATCATCATAATTTAAACTTACTATTTTATTAAAAGGACAAAAAGTTAGAAAAAATGGGAAAACTCTATTTCACAGACTACCTTTAATCAAATCAAGATGCCAGCATTTCAATTTATTTCGCAAATAACGAGCTCCTTAATTCTTTTATGCCATTTTGAAATACTTTCCTTTTTCAGTAATTGAGTCAGTGAGAACAAAAACACACCAACTCGGTATCTCGAAAATGCTTAAGTTTCATTAAAGACGGTCATTTTTCAAGGAGGTCATTGATGTTAGCGCATCTGTTCCAACTTGGACCTTTGAAGTGTCCTTAACTACTTTTGTTTTGGCACCAAAAATATTTGCCTTTGACTAACTCCTTAACTTACTATGCAGTTTTGTTTGTGCCTTGATTATTTTCATTTTTTCAAGTTGGTGTGTTTTCGTTCTCACTGATTCAATGGACCACTAGACAAGGTACAAATTAAAGGATTCTGATACATGTTCTTAACCAAAATTTTACGCAGAACACGATTCGCCTAACAAAAATGACTATTAACTATAAATGACTTAAATATTAGATATTAACGTTTTTATTTCACATTGGTTACAAGGAATTTGAACTGCCCGCTCACAAGAAACTCAAAGCTCTATGTGAGTCAAATCGCGCACTACAACGGTTCCAGCAATCTTCTCAATCGAGCAATGTTCATTTCCCACCATGTTTTGTTCAAACTATAATTACTTTGCTATAGCTGAGCCGAAGCGTCAAGATTGAGGTTGCCAGATTTTCATATCGCAGAGACTGTCATGATAAACGTTAAGTGCGCGATGTGAATCACGTAGAGCATTGGTTTTTCATGAGCGGGTGGTTTGAATTCATGCATCAAGAATTATCAAATAGCTTCGTAAGGAGTTGATTTCGGTAATTTTTGTTGCACGCATCGTGTTTTGCGTGAAATTTGGGTTGAGAAGCATGTATCAGACTGCTGAAATTCGTACCTTGTCCAGTGGTCCATCGTTTCAATTGAAGTTTTCTAGAACTTTAAGTTTACATGCCTATGTATTTATTTTTGTTTTGTTTCAGGTTTCCCGTTTTCAAGATGTATTGAAAGCAACCAAAAAAACTGGCTCTGTCTCCTCATTGCCATTCTCCCGCCGAAGTTTGCACCAGTACGAAGATATTTTCAAACAAGCTCTAACATTAATCAAATCAAACAAGGAGGTAATAGATTACTCATTATTTCTTTTGCTGTTATATAACTGCTTTAGCATTCTTTACTTATATTTCCTATGTCTTTCCTCAGTATTAACTTCCATATCCTGATCCAGAAATCGAGGAGTGTTTTTGTGGGAAGGCAAATAATCACTGCAACTCTAATGAGGTTTTTCAAATGAGGGGCTTGGAGGACAAGGCGTTGCAGAGTAATTTTTGCCATTTCAAGAAATACAAGTGTAAAGTTTCAAAATTGCACAGAGCCTTACAGATGAAAGCAAGTTCAAACTCACTTTTTAATGCTTAAACATTGAATTTTAGCTGTCAACTTTCCACAGATAACATTTCAAGACTAGTTTCACTTGAAATCATTAACCCATTGACATAAAATGACGGCTTCCAGCCGTCATTGCAGCGCTGGGCCAGCTCTGAAATGACGGCTCAGAGCCGTCCGCTGATTGTTTGCGTTATTTCGGCAATTCTCCGGTAGATTGCGTTCTCATCAATGTTTATATGAGTAGTGTGGCCACCCTATGACTTATAGTGTACGGTAATTTCTTGTTTTGTTACGGTATTTTCATATTACTGTGCGTTTGCACATGAAATAACCTCAAAATTTTCTGATTTTCGCTGATTTTGCGATTTTTACGATTTTGACAGCTATAAACCACATAAAAAAATCATTGTGTTCAAAGTTTTCACCATTTTTCTCAAACGTTGTATTGCGAATGCTTATTTTGTCAATTTTCACCCTTTGAGAAATAATTTCTGGATTATTTTGAAGTGTTCAAAGTTGCTGATTTTCGCCAAATTAAATCGTGATTCCTGGCCCGGCAGGGTCAAATTAAATCATAAGTCAATGGGTTAATATTTCAATTTTGTCAAAAACAGCTCTTATGCGCCTTGTCCTCCAAACCCCTTAAATGTCAACTGACATTACATTGAAAAGAGTTAAACAGTGTTTCTTAAGTGTACATTTTTACACACTAACAGTCTCATATCTCCATTAAAAATTCCTTCTAAATAGGTCGAAAATTTAACTTTTCAGTCCTGCTTTACTTGTGAGTGGGATGCAGAAATTTTTATTTTAAAAGTTCATCAAGAGGTTGTTAGGAACAATATATCAAGTAGTGGCAGAATGTAGCCAGTGCCAAATTTTTTGGTATTGCGTACATTCTCCTCTCAGATTATACAACAAGAAAAAGTTCCAATTTATATTCTTTTCAGTTTCCAAAATATTACATATCAGTCATTTTCAGCGATCCTCTCTTTATACTTCAATCATTTACAATACGAATATCTGTGGTTACAATTCTTTACAAATGGGCTTACTTTTAAAGAAAAGTAAAGAAAAAAAATTCTAACCAGCTTTATACTAGAATCTAAACATGTTTTTAACTTTTAGAAAGTTCATAGTGAGCAACATAATTGTTTCTTGGAACTGAGAGGTGTTTTGAAAGTGGCAGAATAAACATTAATTATGACCCCTGCATTTAACAGAGTCAATATCATTAATGTATTATTCCCATATCATTATTTTAGTCTTGCCTCTCATTTAAGATTTTTCTTTTTTTAAATTACAGGATGTAGTGAAAAGAAATTTAGAAAAGGTCAAATCAGCCAAGAAATCGAAGCGGCCTGAAAAATCAAAATCTGGTAAACTTGTTCACAGGAAAGATATTAGACGGAAAGGAGCAGAGTCGACCAAAAATAGGAGCATTCCTAATGGTGATGTCATAGAACAGGATATACCAAAATCTACTTCCGAAAACCTATTGTCTAATTCTGAAAAGACAAAATCAGTAGAAAACAGTATAGTTATTAAATCCAAGAAAACTAAACAAGTCAAAAGTGAAGATTCTGTAAAACTTAAAACGGCAATCAATGGTAAAAAAGTAAATGGGCAACTGAATAAAGATTTAATCAAACTACAGTTACCGGTTGAAATTCCAAAAAGTGGGGTTGCCAAAAGGCAGTTCATCAAAGAGACCATGAAAGCAAAATGGCAAGCTAGGAAAGTGAACAGGGTCAAAGCGAAGCAAAGGTTAGAGAGTAAAGAGAAAAAGAAACAGAAAAAAAAATTAAAGAAGAAATTGAAAAGAAAAGATGGAGCGGTGAATGAAGTGGAAGGGAGTAAAGAAAAAAAATCCACAGATAAAGTAAAAGTAAAAAAGTCCAAAAAATTGAAGGAAATTATGTGAAGTATCCAGCAAATGATCTTTGAACCCATGCATGAATTTTTTTTCCTTATGTGCCTTTAGAACTTTTCTTTCAGGCTTAAAACGAATCTCAGTTCATAAGTCAGATTTTAGCCACTGAGATCCAACGTACAATTGATTTCTATTTCATCTCCTTACTATGGTTTCCAAGAAAATAATTTTGCACTTTATATCAATCGACACACTAGGAAAACAAGTACTTTGGTTCGCAATACTACAAGTTTTTTTTTTTGTAGCATGTGTCCTTTAGCAAGGGTTTCTGGTGAATTCTCCAATTTTCTTGAAGTATTTTTGTTGGAAATATTCTGCAAAATTTGGTTAGCCCTGATCAGATTTTGCTAAGCTGTGTTGCTTACTGTTTGATTTCCTCTCACAATTTTCGTTTCCCACAATGAAACTAAATATTCTCTTTAAAATTTTGTGAGAATGTTTGCCCACAATCTATGATGAAATGCATAGAAAGTTCAAGCGATGTTGTTCGGTTTAAAGGAAATAAACCATGAGAATATATTAGGTAACAGGAAGTGCAATCGAACTGGATTGTGCCAAACCTATCAAATTCGTAAACTCGTATCAGTACAGATGTGGAGACACCACAATGAAGGTATACGTTTTTCCAACTTTGCAAATAATATTAAGGTATTAAAATTCGAGGCATGAGTGATGGACCACCAGACAAGGTGTGAATGTAGGCTTTAAGATATGTGTCTTCTCCTCAAAATTCCATGTAGAACACGATTTGTGCAATGAAAATTACTGACCGTAATGCATTTCCGTTTTAATAAGAGTCATTGTAAGAACAACTTAGCACAATTAATTTTCCTCTTTAATAAGTCAGCCACACGTTTTTTGCTCTTTTTACATTGATTTGCTGTGCAAAACCTTGCGTCATTTTTCTCTTCTTACCAAATTGGGGGCTGTTTATAAAATATGTGACACTCTATTGGGGGGGGGGGGGAGGGGGGAGATCTTGAGGCTATTTTGTTTTTACGTGTTGACGGATAAGGACCTAACGTCACCAATGCATTACAAGGGGGATGGGATGTGTTCAAAAAATCCGAAATGTAGCATTACATATTTTTTGAATGGCCCCCTGTGCTGTTCCATTTTTTCTCTTAAAATGATTTTATGTTCCATTCGAAAAGTTGTTGCAAGCAGCCAATATTTTGATTTTTCTAAAAGATTTTGTTCGTATACTTGGAAGTTTCATCACTTTTCTATCAATTATTGCGAATTTTACCTTGATTTGAAGACTGTGTTATTTATTATTTTTTCTCATGAAGGCAATAATACTTTGGATGTGGATGTATTCTTTTAAGAACTGCTCAGGGTAGTTTAATAGATCAATTTTCCTTTACCCCTCAATTATTCACTCTTATTTCAATTATGAATATCAGAATCATTTACAAAATTGTGTTTTTTATTTCTCTGTCCCTGTGTATTACACAAATTTGATATTGTACATAAAAAAAAAAAAAAAAAGATAAAATATTCTGTGGTACTGTTGTGTCTCAACTGTCTCAGTTTTCAAATGAATGTAATAACCTGTATTGTTTGTTAAATTACTACAAAATTTTAGGAATTTTAATTAAAAAATTTAAAATAGATTTTTAAATAAAAACCAAGACCATCAATTTTGTTCTCTTAATATTGACGAAACCCCTCTTATCCAATTGAAATCAACAGTGCTTTTTCTTAAGGCAAAATGTTTTGAGTGCTACAGGGCCGGACTGGCTAAGGCAGCTAGGCAGCGATCGCTGCCCAAGAATTGTCGGCTCAGGGGCTCCGAAGGGGCCCCTGAGCCGACAATTCCTGAATTTATTCATCAATAAATGAAATGAATCCATGAAAAAGTGAAAAATCCTTGAAAAAAATCCTTGAATTTATTCTTCAATAAATGAAATGAATCCAAGAAAACCCTCGTTTTTTCCAGTCCTTGAGGGTTTAACTCATAACACCTTCTCTGAGGCCCCTACGGCCAGAAAAAGTTAACCTCAGGGGCCCCTGAAAAGATGCCAGGAAGGGCCCCTCAGCGATCGAAAAATATGAGCTTCAAGGGCCCTGGAGCGGCCCTCGGAGCTATATTTTCCCGGCCTCTAAGGGTTTTTTACTTTAAACAGCATGACTCTTTCTCTGAGACCCCTATAGCCCGAAGAAGGTCACTTCTGGGGCCCTTGAAAAGATGTCAGCAGGGGCCCCTGACCCCGGGCTCGAAAAAAAGAGTTTCACTTTCAGGGGCCCTTTCGGGTCTCGAAAGCTCTTTTTTCCGGTCTTTGAAGGTTACTCACTTTAAGATGACTTTTTTTTTGAGGCGCTCCTACTGGCCCTGCAGCCGGGAGAAGGTAACTTCAGGGGCGGGGCCTCTGAGAAGATACCAGCAGAGGCCCCTGCGTAAAGTTTGAGGAGGTTATGTGCTTCTTTATCAACATGAGGAATCGTCGAATTTTTCAAAAAATATCTAAAAAATAGGTGACATTTTCGGAAGCGCTATTTATCAAATTTCAATGCAAAAAGAGCCTAAAACTTCTATTTTCAGGGGTTAAATTTTCAAAATTTTCCGGGGGAGAACCCCCGAACCCCCTCCGTCCCTGGGGGGCGACCCCCCAGACCCCCCATAGGGGCCCAGTTTTAACGTCAGGGGCCCCAAAATCCTAGTAGCTGCCTAACTTTTCTTACGCCAGTCCGACTCTGTGAGTGCATCGCAACTTATTTAATGAATGTAAAATCTGGTACCAGTATTAGAGATTCTTTGCTGAGTTGAATTTTGAGATGAAAATTTAAAAGAGATGGTTGTATGGGGAAAGACTCTCTTTACCGAAATTCGTGATTCCTAAGATGTGCCATCGAACTATCGCAGTGGTATCTAGATTTAACCATCCTGAAAAGCCTTCAATGTACCTACAGTTCAACATCGCAAGTAGGTGTGTATGATAAATGGTATCTAAAGTAAATGAAGGCGCGCTACTACGCTCGCACACGCTCATCTAGCTGCGTACGAGCTACAACTACGATACGCGCTGCAGGCAGCTGTACCCATAGGCGTCAGAAGGGGGGCATGGCCCCCCTAAAATTAAAAATAGTATCATCGCCCGCCCCCGAAATTCTGGATGGTGGAAAATTGCATTCTTCTGCGGTCTCCTCATTAAACTTCCCGCGACCTCTTGAGCGTCTGGAAATCGTCAACTTTTTAACGCTCATGTCAAACAACCTTTAAAACTAAATTTTTTAACTTACCGCTTTTCTTTTCGTTTTTACTTTTACCTCCTGTTTTTCCCGCTCAAGAAGTGGTGGGAAATTTTTCGACGTGACCGCGGAAAAATGCGATTGGAATTTTTGTAGCTTTAATAGTCCTTGAACTCTAATTAATTGCGAGCATTTGTAATTTTTTTTTCTCCGCATTCATATTTTAGCTGTCAACCAGGATATGTAAGCCTAAAAAATATTTTGGAAATTATTTAAATGGAACGGAAGAGAATTCACTTGCCGTGATTCGTATGGTAATGTGATAACAGCGAGTGATAAGAGAAAACGTAGTGCACGGTGCCCCTGAACTCACTTTAAATGCGACTTTGTTGTACATCAAAAATTTAAGTTGGAGGTTGTAGTGGGGTACCCCCTGATGGGTTTTTGGGCAATTTCGAAATAGGTTGTCGGAGCTCCTCGAAAAATAATCGCATTTTAATGGTTTTTTAGGGGTAAAATAGCAAAATTGGCCTCGGGGCGACAAATTAAACCCCCTCTCCCTCATCCTTGCTTTGACCGATCTGAATTTTTAGTATGTTTTTACCTGGTATAAGATGGGACTTTTCTGAAATTTTCATGCCCATACAATTTTTTTTGCTCCCGCGGCAGCGTTGCCAAGTTGCGGACTCCAAAATATCGAATTTAATGATAAAATGAAGGTTTCGGAGTGTGATTTCCATTCAAAATCAAAAATTCAAATTGTAAGTTGTAGTAGGGTACTGCCTGATGGGGTTTTGGCCAATTTCGAAGTAGAGTGTTTGAGATTTTTGAAAAATAATCGAATTTTTGCGGTTTTTTAAGGGTAAAATAGCACACTGAGCACGGGGCGGCAAGTTGAACCTTTTCTCTCTCATCCTTGCCGTGACCGATCTGAACTTTTAGTATGTATTAACCTGGTATAAGATGTGACTTTTCTGAAATTTTCATGCCCATACAAAATTTTTTGCCCCCCGCGGCAGCGTTGCCAATTTGCGGACTCAAAAATATCGAATTTGATGATAAAATGAAGGTTTCGAGGTGTGATTTCCTCCAAAATTTCACGAAAAATGTGCAATCTGAGAGTTTTCGATAAGAAAAGGCATATTTGAACAATTTAGAGTTGCAGTGTTGCCAGCTTTTGATTTAAAATTCGTCAAAATGACCCAAATCGCGTTGCAACCTCGAGCGCTGGATTTTTATTTCGTTCAGAATTGGTTATTACGGTTCTTCTGTACTCTATGCATTTAGGTACCATGAAAATTATGCCATTACTTACTTGATGGGTGCAGCTAACTCAAAAAGAGAGGCCGGATAAAGCGATGAGTCGGGGGAAAACGAGCGGTTCGGGTTGACAGAAAGTTCTTAAATCTACTCCATCACCAGAAAGTAGAATTTGAGAACTTTCTCCCACCCCCCAAACCTTATCCCTGTTGCAGTCAATCCTTTGAACATCTGATCTGAAATTTTGCCCCCGAATTTTTACCAAAAACATGATGTGTTTTTGCACAAAAACGTGTTTTTATTTTTCATGTTTTTGGTAAAAATTCGGGGGCAAAATTTCAGATCAGATGTTCAAAGGATTGACTGCAACAGGGATAAGGTTTGGGGGGTGGGAGAAAGTTCTCAAATTCTACTTTCTGGTGATGGAGTAGATTTAAGAACTTTCTGTCAACCCGAACCGCTCGTTTTCCCCCGACTCATCGCTTTATCCGGCCTCTCTTTTTGAGTTAGCTGCACCCATCAAGTAAGTAATGGCATAATTTTCATGGTACCTAAATGCATAGAGTACAGAAGAACCGTAATAACCAATTCTGAACGAAATAAAAATCCAGCGCTCGAGGTTGCAACGCGATTTGGGTCATTTTGACGAATTTTAAATCAAAAGCTGGCAACACTGCAACTCTAAATTGTTCAAATATGCCTTTTCTTATCGAAAACTCTCAGATTGCACATTTTTCGTGAAATTTTGGAGGAAATCACACCTCGAAACCTTCATTTTATCATCAAATTCGATATTTTTGAGTCCGCAAATTGGCAACGCTGCCGCGGGGGGCAAAAAATTTTGTATGGGCATGAAAATTTCAGAAAAGTCACATCTTATACCAGGTTAATACATACTAAAAGTTCAGATCGGTCACGGCAAGGATGAGAGAGAAAAGGTTTAACTTGCCGCCCCGTGCTCAGTGTGCTATTTTACCCAAAAAAAACCGCAAAAATTCGATTATTTTTCAAAAATCTCAAACACTCTACTTCGAAATTGGCCAAAACCCCATCAGGCAGTACCCTACTACAACTTACAATTTGAATTTTTGATTTTGAATGGAAATCACACTCCGAAACCTTCATTTTATCATTAAATTCGATATTTTGGAATCCGCAACTTGGCAACGCTGCCGCGGGAGCAAAAAAAATTGTATGGGCATGAAAATTTCAGAAAAGTCCCATCTTATACCAGGTAAAAACATACTAAAAATTCAGATCGGTCAAAGCAAGGATGAGGGAGAGGGGGTTTAATTTGTCGCCCCGAGGCCAATTTTGCTATTTTACCCCTAAAAAACCATTAAAATGCGATTATTTTTCGAGGAGCTCCGACAACCTATTTCGAAATTGCCCAAAAACCCATCAGGGGGTACCTCACTACAACCTCCAACTTAAATTTTTGATGTACAACAAAGTCGCATTTAAAGTGAGTTCAGGGGCACCGTGAGTGATAAGCAAGAAAAAACTCATGCTCCCATCATCAGCAGCGCTCCCTCAGAGCGTGCGGAACTTTTGAGAACCAACCCCAGCGCATGCGCCATGCGCGCAGAGCTGACGTCACGAGGGAAGCCATCTCGCCGCGGAATTCGCCAGAGTGCGCCAGCAAGGCGGATAAAGAATGGTGGTCGCATTTCGTACCCTCTGGACGTCACACGGTATCGGGTACATCGGGTACATGGGCTGGCCGAGGCCGGGGGGGGCCGACTCAACCTCGGATTGCACGGCATAACCTGTACCCTCCTGACGTCACAACGCTTCAAGATGGCAGCCAAAATCGTAATGCGACCACCATTCTTTATCCGCCTTGAGTGCGCCAGTTCCATCATGGTTATCATGGCGGTGGGTCACCGTCAGTGCGGTCCGCGGGTGTTGGTGTAAATATTTTAGAAAATGAGTGGTTTTGATGTGAAATTTCGTGTGTTGTGATATTGGAATTTGATAGTGCCCAAATGGAATTACGTTTGCACAGTCCTGTGGGGGCTGAGGCCGTCATATACCAGTGGCCTCTCACCTCAGGAAGAGGATCCGTAAGTGTTCACAACGTTGCCTTAATGCCTTAAAGTAGATGTACCACTCCGTGAAAGCATCGCTCCCGTCAGAAATGGAGCGGAATCAACAAGATTAATTCGTTTTCGATGTAGTCAATTTGCGAGCACCCATCCGATCACCTGCCATGTTACGATTTGAGCGAGGATGCTTATCTTGCAGTGGTCCATTTGTAGAATTTGACTTGCCCATAGATAGGCACAGTCCCATTGCACTGAGATAAAGTGCATTCTCAGGAAATACAAGACTTGTTCCCCTCGACACATTTGCTACCGTTCGTCCAAAATTATAATGTTTTTTTGGCGATATAATCACTCTGTTTTGCCTCTCATTATTATTACTGTGATATTTTTTCTCCTTGCCCATCATCTCAAACAGCAGGGTCAGCAGAATTGAACGGTTAATCCTAATTTCTACGAAGAGGCCCCTCAAATTTAATAATTGTCGACGAACAGAATTTGTCAAGTTCCAGTGAGAGAGTGGAATGCATTTCAACTAAGATCAGATTGTTTACCCACCCAAGGTTTTCAAACGGGGAACGAAGTGACCGACATGTGAGAATTAAGTAATTTTATAGAAGTTCCATCCCCTTGTGGAATGTATCATTAAAATTGAGCCAGTAGTCCATTCTCTCTACTTTGATTATGCTCTGTAATCTTAAAATGACTGTAGGTGATACCACACCTCTAGACAAGCACAAAGCTACCCTGTACTAGTTTATTTGAAGAGACCAAAAGAGATTCAATTCAATCAACAGAAACCCAGTAAATTTGGGTTTGCATGCCTCATAGTTGCACTATAGGTATTAACTAATTCGTTCAGGGTTCTTTTAGCAACACTGTGAGCTCTGATGAAATCATGGCTTAATATGGTCTTGAGAAAATTAGAATGTGTTGAGCATTGGAAACTGAAAATCTGTATTTTTGACTTCAATTAAGTTTTTATCGAAAAACTAGCCTCTCTGTTGTGGGGCCACTTTGCCCGATTCCATCACATACAAACATCAAAGAACCAACCACTGATACAGAAGATTCAGAGATACAATGACCCAAGTAGAGCAGGGATAACCAAGAGTCTCTCAACGCTGTATCAGTTCACAATAAGTGACTCTGAATCAAGCGAGGGAAAAAATGAAACTAGATCACGGAGGTGATTGAGTCGAAACCAATTCTATCTAGGTTATAATACTGCACTTGCAGTCTCATCTCAAGTGAGATCAGCGTATTGCATTATCAAGTGCCACTTCAGACTCAGTTTGTTGTCTCTCAGAGCTTGCTCAGCGTTTGTTGAGACAACATCGAAATCTTGTTTATATTATCACTCTGTCACTGGTTTCATACGCATTCATGTAGTGATGCCAATTGAGGCCAGTCAGAGATTACTTAACCTTATTCTCATCACATCATCAGTAACCTCAAGGTATTTTCATGTGGTTGCTAATACCACAACACCAAGTTATAGGCCATCAAACTATTAATTTTTACAAGAAATGCATGCTCACGTTGGGTCTCAAAATTTTGGTGTTAGATGTCTTTGTTATCAGTCTTGGCAATTGGAATCATAATTCCACTACAAGATACCCTCATAGTCTTAAATTATTTTTTCTAGACAGATTCCCCATTTAAAGGGACTGAGATATATTATCCACTAACATACTTTCCCTCCTGAACATGATTTTTGAAGAACAATGTGCTTTGATGCAAATTGAAATGTTTTGAATCTTACCATCAATCATTGTAGAATCACCTATCAGATGAAAATTAACTGAAATTAATCATTCAACAATATCATCCTTCATATTCTGAGATGATCAGCCGTTCGCAACATACTGAAGTGTTCAGTCATACTGTCAAGTGCAAAATTCTCTGCCTATTGTGATAAATTTAATTCTAAGAATGAGATTTTCCACTCCACTGTTATCAGTCATTCGAGTAAGCTCTTTTCGTACATCTTTCTTGTCCGGGTCTTATCAAATCGATTGGTTTTACATTTTCAATGTAATAATGATGATAAGGACTTATTTGCAACCACCCAGTGAGCAGAAGAGATGTATTGCGTTTCGAACCAAGTCCAGATCTTATGTAAGCTAGTAAACTCACGCATGTAGGAGATTCAATTACTGCCTGGTGTTATCAGAACTTGAAATAAAATTGTAGAGGCTCTGAAGAGTACATCCCACTTATCAAAGCTCGTTCAAAGTTGAGTCATTTGTTTCTCTCGTGTGCCTGTTTTTGCCTCTGGCGCACGAAAGGTCATGACCATTAACCCACTTTATGCGTTAGTGCTGATATTTTAAGAGGACAGGTGGTTATAACTGTTATTTTGTAGCCACTGAACATTAGGATAAAAATAAACAGGGGATAGAGTAGATCTGTATGTAAGAAGTTTGGCAGTATGATTGAGGAATCCAGACATAGGTTTAGATTGTAAGCCATCACTTCGACACAGGAGTTTCTTCCTTCACCTCATTTTTCATTTATCAGAGATTTAATTAATTTTAGTCTGAATAGAAGTCAGTTAAATAACTGGAGTTAATTGGATATGAGGGAGAAAATTTTGAAGCAAATTCTGATGGAAGATTTTAATGGGTTAATTAATTGTCTGCTTTGTGAAATATATTAACGGAATTTCTAGGACGAACCGTGTAGATCGCAGGTTTTGCAAGAAACTCCTCATGTACCTATTTCCCCACCCTTGCTGTTTTTGCAGTCCTTTTTAAGCTGATAATGTTTCTCTTACTTTTTGTTGCAGGATAAACATGATGGAGCGTTGGAGATCGTGGAGACCATAAGGTAAGATTAGAACCTACCTATTCAACTTATTGTAGAATTGTATCAATATCAACACAGGTTACTGTTTAGTTAGGAAGGCCCTAGCGTGCTGCAAAGTTCAATTATATCAGAATAGTAAAGCAGAATGCCAATCAATTATATGAGAACAGACTTGTGTTTGATATTCTCTTTGAAGTGCAAGTTTGCTGTTATCATTTTTGAAGAGTAAAAACTAGGAATATCCTAAGTGCCCTAACATGTCGTTTGATTTTACAAACGCTCACACTCTCTTTCAGCTTGAAAGAAATATGATTATACCCAGAAGGAGAATATTTTTTTTTTTGTAGAAAAAATTGGACCGCGTCAAACAGAAAGAAACCAAGCCACATCACCTATTGCCAAATTTAATTGGGCAATTTAATTTTTTACATGAAAACGGTTGTTTCGGACTTTCCTTTCAAAACGGATTTTCCTGCAAATTTCAGTGAAAATTCTCCATGGTACGAAGCAAATTCCTTGAAATTTTCACAGAAATCCGAACAAACGTCCTTTCGCAAAAAATTCAATTGCTCAGTTAAACTTGGCAATAGCTGATGTGGCTTGGTTCCTTTCTGTGAAACTCGGTCCAATTGTTTACAAGGATCTAGGTATTTAGGGGTTGTTCCTGACTCTAAATTCAAGAGAATTTTTGAGTTCAGAATTGCCATTCAAGAGTCATCAAATTCCCATACCTAGAATGAGAGAAATATCTGGACAATTTTTAGATTTTAATGCGTTTTACCTGAATCAGCCTCTGCCCAACTTAGTTAGAAAACACTTTGCACTCTGGCTATGGAACTACTTAGACTGGTTCTGGTCGCATTCGCTCACTTCTGGTGACACCTGATTGCACTTAGGGTGTTTTGAATCTCTATCCTTTATTTGATGATAATGATCTTAAATTTTCCGGAGTATGTCTAAAATTGTGCCACCTATCAAGTCGAAAATCGATTTATTACTTAGCTGTCCCTCCGAATGCCAAGGTCGTGAACACTGACCCCAACATTGTTTCGCCCCAGTTCGAGGCCCAGGGGTCAAGGCGAGGTCATCGGGCAAAACCGAGTATTTTCTACGGGTCGCACGGTGGGTTGCATCCCTGGACTCGCAGGCGCGGAGTGGAGGTGTCTCTGACGCGACAGCCGGACGGTGGAATAATGTGTTAGGAGTACCAGTGGCGTGCTTTGCGATATATCGATTGTTATGCCATTTAAACCTATGGAAAATGATCGATGTACAGGGTGTTCGCAGCGAACACCTTAATAATCGATTCTTTACCATAGGTTTCAATGGCGTAACAATCAATATATCGCAATTAACGCCACACCACTGAGAAATACCCAGCTAAGAAGCGCGTAACTACTGCCGGGATCCTCGTAGCAGAGCAGATAGGAGGTTCCGAAATCGAGGCCGCGGCCATTCGGCAACATAGCTCTCAATAGGTTATTTAATAATAGCCCGCGCAGAGGATGAGGAGCTCACGACGGCCAGGTTGCCGGCTCGCTCTAAAAAAATGAGGGGAATTTTCGGAGACGATATCTTATTGTTTTTAGAGGCACCTAGAGTCCCTTTATACTGAGAGTCAAGACAACACCCCTCATGAAGTCACAAACGGGAATAAAGATTACACAAATTAGACGTTTATCGCAATTTTTCGTTATCTTTGATCGGCTCATTCTTAATTTCCTTTCTCCGTAGCTCCTCTCATTCCGTTTGTTCCTTGTCGAACCCGAAATTCCTTGGTCCACGAAAATGTAATCTTTATTCCCGTTTGTGACACAGTGGAGGCCTAAAATACGGTTAACCAATCAGAAATGGATTCACACTGCCTTGACGCTCAGTATAAAGGGACTCTATCTGAAACATATTGTCTCTGGGGAATTTCGAGTGGGGTTTGGCAACACTGCGCCGTGGACGGGAGGACCTGTGCGAGTGTCGGGTGCATTAGCCTCTCGGCAGCCTTGCTTCTTTTTTCCACGTTTTTTCTCCGCTTTTTTGTCTTTGTTTTATCGGGACGTTCGGCTCTCCCCCCCCCCCNCCCCGCTTTTCCGCGGCGGAGCGGGGAGCGATGTGTTCGCAGATGCGGGGGACCTGCCTGAAAGCTCAGGTGGGACCCGGGACCCGAAGTGCCGCAACGGCACAGTGCGTATTTCCATCGATTTTTACCCACGAACATGCTGTCTCGTTTTATCGTTGCGCTCTTGCATTCGAAGGGGATCCTCGATTTATGCGATCGTCCCGTTGTGAAATCCCGCGAGAAACACCATGGATTTTCACCATGGATCGATGGACTCTTCGGATATCAACATGAATACACGGCCTTAAAAGTCAATAGATCGTATTCGATACATCAAACGGGTGAGATTGTATCGATATCGATTGGCTCAAAACATAAACATAGCATCAAGAGTAAATTCAGAAATCTGAGAGGACGGGTCTTTTGTAACGTATTTTTTATTCTTTTGAGTACCAAATGCCAATGCAAAGTGAAATTGTCGGGGAATTTCTCATTTTCAGCTTTTCCAACTTAAATAAGTATAGTAATTTCGCTCAAAATGGAGATGTTGCATGTGTGCGGAATTTGCGATTTGACTGTTGGTTTTCATGTAAAAGTTCGCGAGAAACACGATGGTGCCACTGGTTTTCTCTGAAATCAACTCCCAAGCTCAAAAAAAGCTCTCAAGTTGAGGCCAAAATGGAGGGGATATCCCACGCCATCCTGAGAGTCCACGTCTACATCAATACAAACTCTCCATGCAAAGATAGGGAGCAAATACATTGACAGGCCTGCCACTTTATTTGGGAACCCTAAGACTGAAAAGACGGCATCCCTGCTAATGTATTTGCTCCCTATCTTTGGCATGGAGAGTTCGTCTTGATGTAGAGGTGGACTCTCAGGATAGCGTGGGATATCCCCTCCATTTAGGCCTCAACTGGAGAGCTTTTCTTGAGCTTGGGAGTTGATTTCAGAGAAAACCAGTGGCACCATCGTGTTTCTCGCGAACTTTTACATAAGAAACAGCAGTGAAATCGCAAATCCCTCACACCTGCAACATCTCCATTGACTGAGAAATTGCAGAATTTGTGCCCTTTTGAGAGCCCTACTTTGATCGTGTGATACTGGCTTAATCGGGTAAGCTAACGTAAGCTCTTGGTAGATTCGATGAAAACCAGTGGCGCGGCGTGAATTGCGATACATGGATTGTTATGCCATTTAAACCTATGGAAAAGGATCGATAAACAGGGTGTTCGCAGCGAACACCTTAATAATCGATTCTTTAGCATAGTTTTATATGGCATAGCAATCGATATATCGCAATTCACGCCACGCCACTGATGAAAACTATACGGAATCGGAGCAAGTAAGACGGAAATGGACTACATTTTCCACTCGGGAACTATAATTCCGGGCTCGGTTTAAAAACAACGTGTGTACCGTTAGTTTCCCTATGCACGTTGATTTCTTTACGTTTGAGCCAGAAATTGTAGTTCCTAATTGCAAACTGAAGTCCAAATAAAAACGGAAAGTGACGGGCGAGAAGCCGGGATTGTTTGCGCCCCACTTCCGACTTGCAATCAACGATCTCAACCCATTGTTGCCAGGCTGTACGGTGAAATTCGAATAGTTTCCATGCTTTCAAATGGAGACAAGTTGATTTTTCCGCATAATCTGGCAACAATGTTTCAACGGGCCGTAAGTGTTTGCTTGGATCGATCGAATCGTTTGCCAACGTCAAGGATTCAGTCAGTGGCGGGGCCTCAATGATCGAATATCGATTTTTCCCCCCCATTTGAAGCTGTGGTAAAGAATCGATTTTTTAAAGTGGTCGTTGTAGACACCCTTTCTATCGATCCTTTTCAATGGGTTTGAATGGCAAATCAATCGATATGTCGCAAAGCACGCTACGCCGCTGGATTTACTTCCTCGCCTTAATTTCAACCATTGTTTTCCACGCTTGTTCCGCTCAATTTTTCAAGAAGGAGGAAGGGGTCCATTTGTTTAACGTCCGTGTAAGCAGAGAGCTCATTGTCGATGTGAAGTAAGGACGGATGTTTTTACACTCACTGTGTAAAGAATTTAGATGGTGTGCTTTTGGAGGGTATTAAGCGCGGGATTGGTTGGACCATATTTCGTCGTAACTCTGACGTAAGACCGTGTCTCTAATGGAGATGTTGCATGTGTGAGGAATTTGCGATTTGACTGTTGATTCGTAAGTAAAAGTTCGCGAGAAACACGATGGTGCAACTGGTTTTCGCTGAAATCAACTCCCAAACTCAAAAAAAGCTCTCAAGTTTAGGCCAAAATGGAGGGGACATCCCACCCTACCCTGAGAGTCCACCTCTACATCAAGACAAACTCTCCATGCAAAGATAGGGAGCAAATGCATTGACAGGGCTGCCACTTTATTTGAGGACTCCAAAACTGAAAACACAGCAACCGCAACCCTGCTAATGTATTTGCTCCCTATCTTTGCATGGAGAGTTTGTCTTGATGTAGAGGTGGACTCTCGGGATAGCGTGGGATATCCCCTTTATTTTGGCCTCAACTTGAGAGCTTTTTTTGAGCTTGGGAGAAGATTTTAGAGAAAACCAGTGGCACCATCGTGTTTCTCGCGAACTTTTACGTAAGAATCAACAGTCAAATCGCAAATTCCTCACACGTGCAACATTCCCATTGCAGTGATCTTTTTCCCCTTGGATGTGGGTCAACGATGAAGCGAACCGAACGAAAGTGACAGGATTATTGATCGACGCTCTCAAGTGACAATTGGCGGAAGTCATGACGACGAGTTTTTCCCCCTTTCCCCGACGGAATTGATTGGAATTACACTCTCTTGGCTCTTTCATCGAGCGCTGAACTTAATAAGTCGGGCGATCGCGAGACCTGCATTTCGGAGAGGAAAAATAAACACGGTGACGAAACACGCTCGCTCCCAACTTGATCCACTTTCAGTGTTTATGAATGGAAAGAGATAGAGCTATGC